AATTAAAAATATTAAATAAAATAAAAAGAGTAATTAATTGTCAGAGCACGCAAGAAAAGGAGCAACAGTCCGCATTGCACTTGTAGAAAAGAAGATTGCCTTTCCCTTCTTGGATTCCCGCTTACAACGAGGAATTCTCTTCTTTTCATAGTAAAAATAGTTAATTAATATATCTTACTTTATAAGTTGAAAAATTTTTAATAAAAAAATCAAAAGAAAAAGGGGAAAGATATGCAATCTCTTAGCTTTAGGTTTTTACCATCGAATTTTTTTTTTTTTTTTGTTTTATTCTTGGTCATAAATTTCTTGATTTCATACCTACGAAATTTCCTCAACTTGGAGGGTTCCTTTCGCATTCATTCCCATGTCTTATAGGGATTCTTTTGTTTTTTTAAAGAGAAACGTAACAAAGAAGAATCCCCTGATTAACTAAAATATTCATATAAAATTTCATTGCGTTTCAACATATATTTTCAATGCCAAAAAGAAAAAAAAGAAAACTCAACATTTATTTGTACCGAAAACATCAGCTATTAGTTATATATAGGTTCCATTTGATATAATAGTTTTGCGATAACACTTAGTGATTTTGTTTAAATCGTTAAATTTAGATATTTGATAAATTTATATATTTTGAAATTATTATAAATAAAATATTTGGTAAAAAATTTTATTTAATGATTCGAGACTAACGGACAGCGATTAAGGTTTAAACTATTAACGGATTAAAAAGACTAATTTATGTAGCTTTTTATACCGAACTACTAATGAATTAGAATTTTTTAATTTTATTGATAAATTTATTTTTTTTAATTTTTTATCACAAATTTTAATTAATATTTATCTAATAAGTTTCAATTTTATTTTTTTACCTTTAATGTTATTAAATGATTATAATATTTTTATTTTTTACATTAATTTATCATTAAAAATATATTATTTGAAAAACAAAATTGACTAATTAAGCAAAATGATTAATTTTTTTATTTAAAAAGAATATAATTTTTTCTTTGTTAAAAATAAAAATGAAGTTATAATTACATTATTATAATTAGTTTTATTTATTTATTTTCTTATTATTATTTTTATAAAATTAATAATTTTAATAATAAAAAATACAAAATACTTAGAAAAAATATACTTAATTATTTTTAAATATATATTTATTAGTTATTTAATATTAAATAATACACACTAATTATTGTATAACTAAACAGTTATATCTATCAAATCTACTATCTATTATCCAC